AATGAAATCTAAACCATTCCCAATCAAAGAAGTACTAATTCAAAACAATAATTAAAATACTCATTCAAAAGATATAGAGACTGTTAATTTTCATTGAAACCTTGAATCGTACAATCTTAGAAGATCAATAGAGTCCTGGAAGCACTGCACGGCTGCTTCGTGATGGTATGAAACTCTTTAGCAATACACCCACTCATTCTTATAGATTATTCGAAAATGTTTGCTCTTAAACATTTTATATCCTGTTGTTATGTACACTGGTTCAAATATTTATGCAAATTGTGATGTATCCTACAATATTTCGTCTGACAAATTGTACAAGAGACAGACAGACAGACAAATACAACGCAGAACTCCGTACATAAGTACATCAGTTCAGGTTGCCATACCACATCAGCACACAGACGCGACTGTCAGTTCAAATCCAAGAGTGGTAGCGATAGTAAAATCATTAGCAGTATTGGAGATTAGGGAGCGAAGATATGATTCGAAAAGTATAATTCAGTGAGATGAAATTGTAAGGAGAAAGATAGAGATTATGAGGAATTCAGAAAGTTAGAATTAGAGAGAACATAAAGAGTGGATGCACCTGCGCCATTGCAAACGATTCTGAGCCATGTCGTTCAAGGTCTCTAACCATTGATGACTTTCGTCTCGCGAACCCCAACCAGGTAGCCTACATCTACCAACATGACTCAGTCCACTTATCAGTGACTTCATGGATTTCTGCCATGTTTTGGGTTGGCCGCCCCTAGCTTTCGTCCAACCTACTCTTACACCACAAAATATAGCTTGTCGCGGAAGTCGGTGATTAGGCATACGTAACACCTGTCCCAACCACCTCAACTGATGAAGTTTCACCACTTCATCTATTGATTTGCCATCCCTACCTAGAACTCGTTTCTTAACGATAGCATTGCTTACTCAGTTGTCCCACGACATACGAGCAATGCTTCGAAGACACCTATGGTCGAATACTAGTAACCTAGGAACATCTACTCTTAACGGCCATGTTTCGCATCCATATAGTAGGACGGAGCGAACTGCTGTGCAGTACACTCGTCCTTTGGTTATCGAACGGAAATCACGCCTACGCCACAAACGGCGTAAATTGACAAAACCCAATCGAGCCTTCTGTATCCGAGTTGAGATTTCCTCAATCACCAGGCCATCCGCACTGATGAGGCTCCCCAGATAAGTGAAGCGGTCAACATGCTCGACTACTTTACTCCCTATCACTAGTTCAGGTGCCGATGAAACCCAATCTTGAAGCAACATTTTGCATTTTGAGGAGGAAAACCGCATCCCGAACATGCTTGCATTGTTGCTTAGGGTGGTCAGAAGACTGCAATAGTCAGCGTCTTCACCAAGTAGGACTATGTCATCGGCATATTCTAAGTCAATAAGCGAGCCACCTGGTAAAAGGTCTACTCCTGAAAATTCAGACGAGGATAAGGTTATTTCTAGGAGCATGTCAATGATAAAATTAAACAAGAATGGAGAGAGTGGACATCCCTGACGGACACCACTTGAAGTAAAGAATTCTGTTGACAGTTCGCCATAAGCTCTCACTTGACCAATGGTATTCGAGTAGAGAGCTTGTATGAGGTTAATGTACTTCTCTGGTACACCTTTCAATGACAGACACTGCCACAGAACCTCACGGTCCACTGAGCCGAATGCCGCCTTAAGGTCCAGGAACACGACTATTGTCGGAACGTCTAAATGTGTGTCTGTGTTCCATGATCTGTCTCAGTGTGAAGATGTGGTCTATACAGCCACGTCCGGGTCTGAAACCAGCCTGATTTTCTCGAGTTTGCTCTTCACGAGCTTTCGTTAAGCGTCGAAGTATTACTGAAGCTAACAGTTTAGAATTTATATTAGTTAGACTTATTCCCTTGTGATTGTCACAATCATTGTACAACAGTAACTATCAATACAAGTAGACAGCTAGTGACATCAGTTTCATTTGGTGAAAACATTTAGAAAATTCCAAGAATAATGAAAAAAAATTTCTCAAAACACAACATCCAGACCAATCACTGATAAGCATCCGCATCGACCTTGAATCGATCTGTTCATCCAAAACAGAAAAAAATGTAATTAATTATATGGTTCAATTTTAACTAAACATGATCGTCAAATCAAATATGGGAATACATGTAATCAACAAAACACAACTTGAACGAATTGATGTTATGCAATAACTAAGAGACTCAACTTTGTATGTACACAAGACGTTTACAGTGTTTGCAAAAACGATTAATTAAAAAGCTTCAAATGTAACTTAATCAGATTAGTGAAACTGAACATTCAAAATGAATGTAACAACTTAAATCTTATGACAATCTAATCCTGTTATAGATTATCGTGTCACTTAAAATTTCTAACAGCTCAGATAACAGATAAATAAAACTATTCTAATTAAATTTATGTCAAAAATAAAGAAATTCTAAGATCACAGAAAAAACAACTTGTATATCATTCATCCTGCATTTCTAATTAGACTCACATTTAAAAATCAACATAAACATTAGTTCATGTCAGTAGGATAAGAAAAAAATTTTTTTTAATCGTTTTTTTTTCAATCATCATCAACAATTGAACATTGAATAACAAACATAGATTAATCAATCAGTCAACTAAAACAAACTGGGGAAACAACATAAAATCAATTTATAATAAACTTCATAATCCATAAGCATGAGATAACACCAAATGATCTGCTTCTTATTTTCAGTGTGTTCAGTGTGTTTGTTTGCTTTCTTTCATGATGATATTCAAGTCACTTTTGTTTGTCTCGCATTTACGCATGTACACTGTGAAAAACTTAAGAATGACACACTATAATGAATGACAGTTTGATGATGACATTTTACTGTACAATAACTGAAAGACAGATATAAAACATAGAATAAAGATTTGAAAAAAAGATAAGTGAAATTCTGGCACAGAATACTAGTGAACATGGCGTACTTCGTATTACGTTCAAGGTTACATGAGAAATATTGAACATTGATTTGTTATGGTTTTTTTTTGTGTGTATGAATGAATACACTAGTTCTAGTTTGAATTTTGTGTTTAAAAAATACTTTCTACTTCTTAGAGAGTTTTTAACTTATAGAATCTCTCTTTCAATCTCTCTCTCACACACACACTCAAAGGCCACAGACAAACAAAACAAACATGTGAACAACATTCTAGGCATAGTTGTACAATTTTATTGAACGAACAAATTGATGAATTGAGTTGACGATGAAAATAGTTGGAAACAAGTAACAGTGAAAACTGGCATTATGTCTTCCTTAAAATTGACAGTTGTTGATCTGATTAAACTTAGTCGTACTGTTTGTTGTAAGCCTGTTCATGTGTGTGCTTGTGTGTGTGTTTCTGGAGTGATTTTTGATTTTTGACACAGGCAAAACATGAAACCTCTTTCTATTTTGAATAAAAATTTGAAATTATCTGAATGTAAGAAAACATTCACTATGTAATTAAAGTTTTTTTCTCAATACATACACCCTACTTGTTTACACATATGTTTTATACAAAATAAATGTGATTCGAAATATACTTTTTATTTGTCAATTGTAAAATTAAATCTTAAAAAAACCAGATATAATCTATGTTATATGAGTTATATGTAAATCATGAGTTATTCATCATGCTGAATATCATCTATTAAACATGTTCAACTCGTATTTAGTAAGTAAACTTTTCATCATACAGTGACCGCGTTTTATAAACATTCATTTTACTTGGTACATATATATTCACATTCTTTCCATTAGAGTTATGAAGATTAGTATCTTTACATATTTGAAATCATCAATCAATCATTGTTAGACCACCATTAGAAACCTAGAAGCACTGGACGGTCGTCAGGTTCTGGTATGGGACTCATCAGCAGTGCTCATCTACGCGACTCCTGCTCCTTACAGGATTCGAACCCGTGACCTTTGGTAGTGTGCGCGAACAGTTAACCATCGGACCACTGGCCCGGCATCCAACGGTGTCACAGTGATCCGGAGGTCAGGCGTTCGCGCACAATACAGGAGGTCCTGGGTTCGAATCCTGTGAGAAGTAGGAGTCGTGGATGCGCACTGCTGATGAGTCCCATACCAGGACTTGACGGTCGTCCAGTGCGTCCAGGTTTCTGATGGTGGTCTAACAATGATTGATTAATGATATTCATAATCACACGTGATTACATGTTGATCAATTTTAAAATGACCAGTCTTGGGGATGTTTAATTCTACAGTTTGTTATTAAGCGTTCTTAGTATAATTTTGTACAATGTATACATCGTTGCTTTTTTGTAACGTTGATACAATTTGTCTTCTCAAACCTCAAATAGAAGTACATTTTCTCAATCAATGAAAGCTCCACAACCAAAACATCCAGCTCAGTGATCCAAACACCACCACAACTATAACAACATCTACAAAGAAAAGTGTTAGGGATGTTAGATCCTCAACAACTCGCTTGATAAATATCTTTATTTCAGATTTATTTAATGGACCGATCAGTTGACCTTGAGATCACATTTCCCACCACGAAAACCTTTGGCTATGATTGGTTGATGTATTATTTTAGTGTGCTATTTTGTGACTCTCCCGAAGACTTCTCTATGGTGCATAAATAAACGCGATTTGTGTGGTTGGATTAATTGTGTGTTATTTGGGAGTTTGTATAATATACTTTATACGTTATATCAAGACTTCTCATCAGTACCTTTGGGTTAACGGATCAGAGTAACCTACCTGGACGCTGGTTCATTGTTTTGTTCTCGTTATTCGACTAAGATGAACCCGTTATAGTTTTAAGCATACCTAGAGACGAGCATAACAATCAGCAGCTCAATGTACGATTAGTTCAATAGCTAAAACTGACAAATGTCAAGAAAACAGGATGTAAAGTATGGTAAGAAAAACACTAGTAAAAAACACTACGAATATCATCAACACAGAATTAAATAGAAATAACCGGACATCACTTACAAGATATGGACCTTTTGGTATTCGACATTTCAAATGTATCGTATCACCAGTATTGTATCGCATAAATTTAATACTGGAATTCATACTGATTGTTTGTTCATTTTGTAACTTGAAATGTTTATTATTGACTCTGTCGGTTTTGTAATTATTCTTATCTGTGGTTTGTTGGGCTACTGAATGTGTACTGCCATTGTTATTATTATTATTATTATTATTATTACTGTTACTATTATTGCCAACTTCAGTAAGTTCTGAACTTGCGTTTGTAGATGTTACTGCTGATGTGTTGTGGTATTGGATAGTGGTGTTACTTGTTGAGATATTGTAGTTGGAATGATTCAAATCTGTAAGAGAAATAAAAAAGCTAAGATAAAGGAAACATTGCTCAAAGTAATCTAGCTTCATAATAAAGACTGAATTTTGAAATGTCTTTATACAATGAAGGTGTAGAAACAAACTAATCTAAACACAATCTCTTAAATTGTCATTAGGTAGAAGCTTGTACAGAAAAAGTCCCTCTGCTTGTCAGTTAACTCACTTTTATAGTTTTACATGTATCTGTTAGAAGAGAAATTTGGTTAAATGTTTCACTAGCAGAGGGAAACTGACCTATTTAGTGGATACTTTAATTCAGGAGCTCGAATTCGTCAAGAACCCACTGACCAAGATCGGCTATCCTAGTAAGTTGTAAAAAAGAAGTCAGAGACTTCCATCGTTCGAAAGAAGCCTTTATTTATTAAACTACAATTCGACGGGGATGTGGCTAGTTATACCCTACAGGATAGATGAAAGAGAGTAATTAGTACGACATTCTACGCAGCCAAACTTGCATTAACCCTCTTGAATCAACTAGTGATGTCTGCTCAAACGAAGGATAAGTTACCTGAGTTGACCTCTTCAGTGTGCATTTAAAAATTCAGCAGCTCCTGTGGAGATAGCTATATCGGACATACTACCAGGGAACGTAACAAATGAATGAGTGGACATCTCCCAGTGCGGATTATGATGGTCCAGATAAAAACAATAAGCAGTTCTATGTTGGCGCATCTGATTGCTATTGGTTATAATATAGATAATTCTGATTCATTTCCAGTAATCTATCGTATCCCTTCATCATTTCCAACGCAATTCGATCCCGTCGCCTACATATAAACAGAAGCCATAGGAATTCGTACATCTAGCCCCAATTTATGTATTCAGAAGAAATTATTGACACTTCTATCCCTTCTGTGGCCGGATATAACTTAACAAACGTCTAAAAAAAATCTTGTATTTTATTTCATTTTTTGCTATTTTTAGCATTATTTTCACATCCTGTATTTGTTTGTAATCTTTTATCCCTTTCCATTTATAATCTTCACTATCTAACCGTCAATAAAACTTTAAGTGTTATCGTATTTTATTATCCTTACTACTATCAGTACGCCTGTCTTCCTACTATCAACTTCTACTTTTACCTATTATATGTAGTGACATATCTAATTGAAAGAATTATTGTTCGCTTTTATGTGTTGTTCTAATTTTCACAATGAGAATCTTAAATATTTTAAAATTACCATTTCATCAGAGACTAATTTGATTTCACTTATTTGTCATATATGTAAGTACTTGTGTCAGCCTGATATTGATGTTTGGTAGTTTGGTAAATTCATCAAGAAATCAAATGTACTTTGAAGCATTTCTCAATAACACTCACTATGAGATGCATAGATCTTGAGTAAGATCTTAGATGAGGCTGTTGACGCGTAATGCTAGTATGAAACAGATATCCAGTACTCCCTGGTTTTCAATGCTCGTCCTATTTGGTCTGATTCGTTATTTCGTCAACATTCAACCATAGGAAATTACATCTTTCATTTTTGAAATAATAGTTGGAACAGAAATTTTTTCTGCGTAAATTTTTAATTGTCGAAATAGACCATTTTATATGGAAAAATAAGTTCCAATGAAATCAATGTCTATGACTTAACAAAGACATGTGTTTTATCATGGCATTCACCATAGTTTTAATTCGTAAGCAGCTGTAACGCGCGTAATAATATGTCGCACCTTCTAGGCACACTAATTAACCTTTCATCACCGAGTTACTGTTCATGCGTCTTTCGACCTTGTCAGTTATTCGCATATAACTTGGTTGCTTTTACCTTGGGTGAGTGTTTACACTACTTACTTCTTTTTTCACTTATATCTAGCTTATTTAGTCTGACTATATACACTTATTCATACCTGGTTGCATGGATTTGACACAGCCGCATTCTCCGCTTAATTTTGCTTCATCTACATTAAACTGTTTTGACCTTCAACTAACCACCATCACATAAACGTAGTTCACCTAAGAATCATATGCTGAAATCAGAGGGAAAATTTATTTAATGTGACATCCAATCGTTCGACCAGTCACTAAACAGTAAAATTAATATACTATTACTATTCAACATTTATAAAACCTGAAAATCTTGTTAATAAAATATCATACATCCCAGCCAGACATTTTCTAAAATCGATAATAAGTTTCGATTAAACAGTTTATTGAATAATTTTATGGATGAAACTAAAATAATAAGTAAATAAAATTATTTGAATGCTTCATTTCGTTTGAAGTGTCTAGTTTGTATGACATTGCATAAACATCGAGTCAGTCAATCAGTTACAACGTAGAACTTCGTACAAACTTACAGCAGTTCAGGTTGCCACACAACATTAGCACGGAGACGCAACTGTCAGTTGAAATCCAAGAGTGATAGCGATAGTAAAAGTATTAGCAGTAATGGAGAAGATTAGGGTTCGAAGATATGATTCGAGAAGTATAAATCGGTGAGATACATTTAGAAAGAGAGATGATGAGGAATTCAGAAGATTAGAATTTCATAGAACACAAAGTGTGGATGCACCTGCGCCATTGCACACGGTGCTAAGCCATGTCGTTCAAGGTCTCTAACCACTTGTTACTTTCGTCTCACGAACCCAAACCCTGCATATACACTATAAATCACACAATACACAAACTGATTACTATTCACATGTTGCATAATATCGAACTTGGATTGACTATAGACATATTCAAGCTTCGTCAATCAGTTAACATTTTTTTATCTGAATCTATAAAGTGCCTCCTGTGTTAACCACTGTAGTATCTTCCAGTATTATGATTCAATGAAACCATATGCTATTGGGAGATGGTTTTTTGTAAACAAACAATGCAGTTCTCTTTTGCGCGCTAAGCAATGAATTCAACATTATGGCTGTGCCACATTTTGGGCTCGTTAATTATCTATTTTACTAACAACAAACAACAGTTACTTTACAATGATCATGACTAGTGCACCCCATGCTCTCATCACAAGATCAATTTGATGATGATGATCGTAATTTGTGATGTATTCTGTAATTCCATGATAGATGTATAAGATTTTAAAGTACTTAATTAAACTACTCAAAAAAATCCTAACTATTTAAACAAAAAGATTGTTACACATTTTTGAAACAATGTTTCGATCAATGTTAAACCACCATTAGAAACCTGGAAGCACTGGACGGCCGTTTCGTCCTGGTATGGGACTCATCAGCAGTGTGCATCCACGACTCCTGCAACTCGCAGGATTCGAACCCGGGCCCGCGAACGCCCTAACCGTTAGACCACTGAGCCGGAATCTAACGGTGTTAATGTCTGACTTGATCAAATCCACAGAGTTGCGCAACCTCATACACAGTCTTCGGTAGATATTACCTACACCCGAACAGGTTGAACTTCACTGGTCACTTCTTCCCACTAGAACTCGGAGAAGATTCCTCACGAAGCTAGTCACTAGTGAGCACAGGTAATTTGCATTACAGGGGTTGTGAAGATTGTTAAGTTACACATTTTCGAAACCATGAATTGATCAATCGTAGACCACCATTAGAAACCTGGAAGCACTGGACGGCTGTTTCGTCCTGGTATGGGACTCCTCAGCAGTGTGCATCCATTCATGGTTTCAAAAATGTGTAACTTAACAATCTTCACAACCCCTGTAATGCAAAAATATTATTGCATTTTCTTGAAATTCTCAAGTTTTCTTCTGTTTCATACATAGAATGTAGTCAAATATATATATATTGAAATGTTGAATTTTCATCACTTCAAATAATAATAATTTTTCACATTCGAGATTTTTCATAGTTTTTTTAGTCATAAATTCACACACACACACACTTATTGTGGTATTAATTATAAACAGATAAGGCATAAGAGAGGCACAGAGCTTACAGTTCATCTATCATAAAAATGCATTCCAGGGAGAAAAAAAAATAGGGAGAAAATTCTAGATTATAATGGCTATTAATTTTGCACATGTTGTTAGAAGAGAGAGAAAAAAATAATTGACGATTCATTTCATTTGTATTCATAATTAAACGGTTCATTCATCTAAGGTTTTATGATTGTATGCACTAATGTTCAATGCCAAAACGGTTTACCTAAGCAATTTGTAGTGTATGTATCCATGAATTCCTTTCTTGAAATATTGAATCAAATAGGTTGATGTGCAGTGAAAAAATTGTCTGTTTATATATATATTTAGTGGTTAGAATGAATAGTTTAGGGAAAAATATTTGGTATAAACTAGTTAATTAACACATAAAAATGTATTGATGCCTAAAAACTCATTATTATTATTATTATTATTATTATTATTATTTTCAAATATTTCGATAAATACAATACTAAACAGCTGTATGCAAAGTGTACAAATATAGAGTTGACTCAGAGTACTGTATTTCACTACGAACTACTAATTCATTATACCACGTGAAATTCTCTGTTGAAAGTCTTCAAACAATTTGAGCTGTTTTTTTTTCTCACCTATTTCATTTGTAAATACTTTAATCTTTCTACTGTTGATATTTTTTAGAATTGTCATTGTTTATCGATTTCTGGTATGCTTATGTACATTCTGAATGCACCACTATATTCATATTGATTTTTAAATTGTAAGTTTTGAAGTACAGGTGGATAAAAGTTATGCGCGAAATGAAGTAAATGCGTATCATGCTCAGTCATTAAGTCAGTCAGTCAGTCAGTTACAAAGTAGAACTTCGTACAAACTTACATTGTGGTGTGAGCTACTTATAAGTAATATATGACGTGAGTGTAAACGTAGGGTCCGGCAGCATAATATGGGGGAAGATCAAGAAAGGAAGAGTTAGAAAACAATGGAATTTGTATAAAACACATGAACGGTGACATTGGATTGATGTTTTGAAACAGGAACAGTCCAGTTCGATAGGATGAACTGATACTTTGCAAATTAACGATTTACGATATGGTTTTCCTATTTTACTGAGTAACTCTGTAATTTTCGTTAAA